GCTTTACATCCGGCGTTCAGTGGCAGACTACTATTTCATATTGTTTTACAACACATGGCTTTAGCCCTTTTGTGGGAAAGACTTTAAAACAAAACTTACAACAGTTACTTTTCTCAACAACTAAAATTTAGAGTAGTGTGATTAAGAAAAATATGCGAACTGTTTTCAATTTCAAATTAATATGGAAATGCACAGGTTTAGAATTTTCTACAGTGAAAAGTACAAAAGCTAGACGTTAAGAATGTATCCAATGAGCGAGCAAAGCGAGCATCGGACAATCCGAAATGAACTGCGAAAGCAGTTCCGGGGATTGGCGAGCGCCAGCGAGCAGAGAGCGAAGCCTCCTAGTTGTTTAAAACTGTGTAAGATAGTTGAAATTGTTAACTTTGTATACATTATCTACGCACTGACTTAGAGGTTGAGCAGCTCCTAAGATCAGAGCACGTCGATCAAAGAGCTATTGTACCCTAACCCTAAATCATGATTAACAGCAACAAAAAACTTTATGGCTGAAGCAGTTCAGCAAACACCTGACGGGAATAGCTTGTAATTCCCTGGTCTTGATGCAATGCTGCCCTAAATGCTCAAATCTTTGAGCAGAATAGACCTCACAACAATCTATGTATACTTTATTTATAGTTTGACTAGAGTAAGAACTCCCTTAGCCATTCGTCTGCATGCATCCGGGGCAGTGACTGTAGTAACTAGATATAACTATTTCAAGTAGGGTTGTGAGGTCATTGTTTAGGACTGGTTTTGGGTCCGGTCGACGAGAGAATCTTTTTCTTCGGTCTGTTGTATTAGCCCTGGAGGGTAGCTAGTAAAGAGAAGCTACCCTCCAAGAAATGCTCTATCCCTGTCTCCATAGCAGCAGACGGCATCAGACTTTGAGGCGGAGGGGGGAGTTCTCACGGTAGACAAACTATAATTTTCTTTACTAATACTAATAGAATTGTTAGTTTTTTAGTCATTAAATATTTTGAAACTGTAAATGTCTGTTGAAATCCTCAAGCATTTTTTTGATTATGTAATCTATGTATCAAATCTTGTACATAACATTTTGAACTGTTTGAAATCCTTAACTTTTTTTTCTGCACGTGGTTCGAACGTGTGAGCATGATAGCCATCTTGTTCAATTGCATCACACTAGGAATGTACCAACCGTGTGCCGATGAGATCTGCACATCTAGCCGGTGTCGACTTCTGCAGATCTTTGACGATTTCATCTTCGGTTTCTTCGCCATTGAAATGATGATCAAGACCATAGCCATGGGCATCACCGGGAAAGGAGCTTACATGAGCGACTCATGGAATCGACTCGACTGCTTCATAGTTTTTGCAGGGTGAGTACAGAATCCATATTATATCTTATTAACAGTGATTTGTCCCATTCATATTAGACATCTAGCGTAATTGGAGTGTTACAATATACAGTCACTGGTCAAATTATTAGACGCATTATGAAATTCGATGTAAAATCTTAAATATCAGGTGATACTATACAGCTTTATTGTTTTTACACTGATGAAACCGGTTTGCATTTGTTTACGTTCGTGTATCAATTGGTTAGCATTGTAATGCAATACGTTAAAAACAAATACTAATAGGAAGTACATAAAAAATCTCCTGAATAAAAACATGTATGTTTAAGCATAAAAGTATTGTGTACAAACTGGTGCAAAACATGTAATTCTTAAAGCACTGCAATGCGTCTAATAATTTGGTCGAATTATTATGCTATACTTATGTAATACCTGATGTAATAAATATTCTATATTTATTAAATATATCGTCTAATTTATATTATATATCGTCTAATTTAACCAATTAATGCACAAACGTAAACAAGTGCAAACCAATTTCAGTCAGGTAAAAACAATAAAGCTGTATATTTAACGCCTGATGATTAAGATTTCACACAGAATCTTATAGGGCATCTAATAATTTGGCTATGGACTATATAGGTATACTCTTTGTACATAAAATAAGCATCCCAAGCTCTCCACACTTTCCCCCTTTTTGTTACCATGGTATCCGCAAATCTTGTTTTTCCCCAAACCAGCATATTCATACTTCTAACTAAAATGAAAAGTACTGTTGTTGGTGGAAAAGCAAGAATTTCGTGATCATGATAACGGAGAGAAGAAAAGTGTGGAGAATAGGAAAAATCACGTAACAGTACAACGTCTATTAAATATATAAAGTATAACTATCGGTCATTAGTTGAAAACCAAAATTTACCGAAAATAAACAAACATTTCGAATTAAGTTAACTGGAGATCATCAACAAGGTGTTTTATCTGTCTCAATGTCAAAATTGGAGGTTAGTAATTTTTTATTGCTTTTAAAATTAATCTCAATTGTTTAAAGGATTCAGTAGATGCAAAATTATTTTTAAATATTCCTAAAATTTGCGAAATAAATATATTTCTGACCATTTTTATCAAGTTGCTTTTGTTATGCCAAATTAAATAATAAATAATTTAGGTTTTCTTAAAACATTAGTTTTCTACATAAAAAGTTATTTCAGGAGAAATTTTTACAAGCGAACCAAAAACATCGTTAAATTTCAATATTTCTCATCAAACAATTACGCGATTTGGGTTTAGTTTTTTGTCTCTTGGCTGGAAAAAAGTAATTGAATACTGATGAAACAATCATACTCAAGAAACAGTTTTAACGAAAAAGCGAAAAAGAAGTGTCAAAAAATTACCTATGGAAAAATTCCAAAAGATATAAAGGTAAAAAAATTCGGGAGGGAAAAAAATTTGGAAATAATTTTTTTTAAAGTGTTTTAAAAGTCAGATATTTTTAGAACAAAATGAAAACACAAAAACTCTTGACGAAAACAAAAAATGTATCCTAAATTTTTTTTTAAAAAATGAATTAAAACTTAAATTCTGTGTCACGCTAAATTTCTTCTATTCGAATTTAATCCTAAAATAATTATACAACGGTTCAACTCAATAGTTAAGTGAATCCCGGGGAAGGGGCTGCAACTTTCGTACGTAAGCATAAGAGGGGGTTCGGCATTTACTTATTTTTTTAGACAAAGTGAAGGAGTAAGTCCTGAATTGCCAAAAACATTCATACGTAATATTTGCAAGGTAATTTCTAGCGCATGCTGATTACTAACTTTCTAATTTTAAAAATTTATGCCTATCTGTCATTGTTTAACGAAAAATAAAATTAAGTACTACATATTAACTTTAAGATTAGCCCAATAATGAAAATTCAAATTTCCAACACGTTGAAGTCTGATAGAAACTTCGCCAAGCAGACTCCACTTACAGAAAATCTTGAAATGGTTTGTCGTGACTATAATTAGGTGCAGATACTCTAATTCATATAATAAGTCATATCAAATCCATATAATAAATCATTTTAAATTCAAATAATAATTCATATCAAATTCATATAATCTGTCAGTGTTTAACGAAAAATAAAATTAAGTACTACATATTAACTTTAAGATTAGCCCAATAATGAAAATTCAAATTTCCAACANACAAAGTGAAGGAGTAAGTCCTGAATTGCCAAAAACATTCATACGTAATGTTTGCAAGGTAATTTCCAGCGCATGCTGATTATTAACTTTCTAATTTTAAAAATTTATGCCTATCTGCCATTGTTTAATGAAAAATAAAATTAAGTACTACATATTAACTTTAAGATTAGCCCAATAATAAAAATTCAAATTTCCAACACATTGAAGTCCGAGAGAAACTTCGCCAAGTATGATAGTAAGCACCTCTTACAGAAAATTTTGAAATGTTTTGTCGTGACTATAATTAGGTGCAGATAAACTAATTCATATAATAAGTCATATCAAATCCATATAATAAATCATTTCAAATTCAAATAATAATTCATATTAAATTCATATAATCTGTCATTGTTTAACGAAAAATAAAATTAAGTACTTTAAGATTAGCCCATTAATAAAAATTCAAATTTCCAGCACATTGAAGTCCGAGAGAAACTTCGCCAAGTATGATAGCAAACACCTCTTACAGAAAATTTTGAAATGTTTTGTCGTGACTATAATTAGGTGCAGATACTCTAATTCATATAATAATTCACATCAAATTCATATAATAATTCATATCAAATTCATATAATAATTCATGTCAAACTCATATAATAGTTCATGTCAAATTCATATAATCTGTCATTGTTTAATTAAAAATAAAACTAAGTACAACATATTAACTTTAAAATTAGCCCAATAATAAAAATTCAGATTTCCAACACGTTGAAGTCTGATAGAAACTTCGCCAAGCAGACTCCACTTACAGAAAATCTTGAAATGTTTCGTCATGACTATAGTTAGGTGTGGATACTCAAATTATTTTAAAAGCTAGTGTCCCAACCTTGTAAAAGCAGCTCTGATGAACTTTTCTTTTAGTAATTACTTGTTTTATCATTTTATTTTTCCCTTTTGTTTTGTTCTAGCCATGGTCTGTAGTTTTTTTTAAGTCTCCGTGCCTTTTGTAGATTATTAACTTCAATTTGACGTAATATAGTGGCATTCTGCTCTCGTGCGGTTTAATTTTTTATCAAATTTAAATTGCAAACCTATAACCGAGAACTAAATTACTCACAGGCTAATATTTTAATTTTGGAATACTTGCCTGACTTTTTATGACTTTTTTAAATAATTGTTAATAATTACTACAAAACTTATTATAAATTAATAAAGAAGATCCAATAATCAACTTTTAAGAATGAATATTCATACTTATTATATTTTTATTAGTAAAGGTTACATGCATAATGAGATTCATTTATAGTTCGTTCACCAGGAGTTGGCACTTCGCTCCGTTTTCATCACGTGGTATCCGACGATACTATTTCGCTATTACAGAGAAGTACAATGATGTGAACAATCCTGAACAAGGTTGTCATTTGGCGATCGAATGAAAAAAAAATTATTTCGCAATCTTTATGTGCATTTTTTTAACATTAAATATTTCATAATTTTGATGATATTTCTCACTTTTGAGTGGATAGTTTGTCTTTTTTTGAGAGATTTTGCTGTAATACATTAAATTAGCCCAGGGCTAAAGAGAATAGAAGGGCTGGTTCACTCCTTTGTAGAAACTCTTGCCGCACCAATCCTCCGATTTTCTCTAGTGATACGTTTTTTCTATAGTTAATAACTTTTATAAAAATTCGTTATCTAAATAGAAACCGCCTCGTTACTTCAAAAGGAAAGGCACGTGAAAAAAATTAAAAAATGGATAAAGTCAAAGAAAATTAAAACGTAAGTAAAAAGTATAAATAAAATATATAGTGTACAGTTGAAATTCTCCTAATTTCATAACTTATTTTTTTAATGTAGTTATTCTAAATATTTATGATTCTTTTAAAAATTATATTCTCTTGAATTTAAATATCTATAAATTATATCATGGTAAATTTAAATATCTATAAACAATTGTAAAATTTCTAATGTCATTATGAACCTAAATTATTATTTTGTTTCAGTAATTAGCGTTTAAGGTTGATGTTTCCTAATGATTAAGTATGAACAAATTGCTATTAACGGCATATTTTAAAATCGGGGATTCTAAATTTAACTCAACTTATTGTTATAAAAGAATATGTAGATAAAAAAGTGTCGATATATGCTTTCATTTTTCTTAATAATTAAAGTTAAAACTGAACTTTTTAAAATAAAGTATTCATAGTGTCATTTTCGACAGCTAGTAAAATATTTTTATAAGTTTAAAATGGTATTTTTTTAATATAATGGCCAAGAAAGTTTTTTTAAACTATGTTTATGAATGGAAATAATGTGTTAATTACGTAAAGTTTGAAAGCTAATAAACAGAAAAAGTCTAACTTATTTTTACAAAGAGAAAGATGCAAAGTTATCATAATATCTTTGCGTGCGATCTTCCGAGATCTGTGGACACAGTGATGTCACGAGGAGGGAAATCGTAGCTTCAGCTCTAAGAGCGGAGTGAACTAGCCCTTCTATTCTCTTTAGCCCTGAAATTAGCCAGAGTAACGAAAGGTATAATCGCTGATGATAAAGCGAAGTAAGTGACTGAAAAAGAATTCACTGTTTGCGTTTGGCGCACGTTAAGGGTTGTCTCAATTTCAAGCTCGGAGACGTTTCTTATCTTGCCCCCGCTCTGAAATGAACTCTTCGTCCGAGGAGTTGAGGCCAAGTGCCAACTCGTGGTGAGCGAACTATACTTATTTATCAGACAAATAAGCCTCTTTCAGATGTAATTATGACTTTACACATGAATCTCATAATTAGACGCACAGAATTGTTTTGCCTTTACTATTTTATTTCATAAATTATTCACAATACATTAACATTAACGGC